GAAGAAACGTCGTGTCCATGGTTTCCAAATGTCAAAATACCAAAAGAGCCAGCCCCCAGTAATCAAATTATAACCTCATCCTCTCAACGACAACGGGGTCTATGTACCAGAGGTCCAGAGAAGAAGCAGGACTGCTGCCCTTCTGTATATCAAATTGGGGAAGTTATCAAGTTGGGGCAGTGCTTTTCGGCGATTCTCAGCCCCAATAGCCTCTAGCTGAGCCCCCACTCCTAGCCTTGCAGAAGGAGTATGGATATTTGGCGCTAAGATTTGGCTATTAATAGAAATTAGGATCGTGTATTCCTACGCTGGAGAGAAGATTTCCGGAAGAACTTTACTCAGGATTTTGATTTAATGCTGTTGCATCTAAGGGGTGGTGAAGGCTTCTCTCTGATCAAGGATCTCCCTTCAAATCGACATGATGAGCAATTTGAATGAGCAATTTAACCGTATTAGCGAATAAAAAGCATCTTACCTCATAAGTAGGAAAATTCGCTCATACAATCAAAAAGATGAAGAAAAAATTAAAAAATGAAAAAATCCTTATGGTAACTAACTAAGCCTGTGAGGCTCCTCTGTCCAGTTTTCAGGGTCAGTTGAATTGATCCATCCAAGTTGTCAGCAATTTAAACATCTCTTGTGGGTCAAGTTGAATTACTTTGCTCGCGCGTGGTAAGAGCTCCAGGTCTGGGCCAGATATTGCTATAATAGTGGGCATCATGTAAGAGGTGGAAATGAGAATCTCGTCTTCCATGCTGGGATGAGGAAAGGAGCTTGGTTGTGAAAATGCCGTCAGCCGTGGCTGGTTCCGGTTATTATTAAAATGTGTCATCTGATGAAAGTTCCCTCATCCATTTTGATGTCTCCGGTACTGTAATTGATTCGCAGCAACCCCCTCATACATGACCAATCGGGCATGCAGTTGAGCATGGTGAGAAATATTCTGCCCACAAAGCTAGTCTTCGGAATCCAAGCCAGGTTCGGTGGCCAAATCATCGATCTTACGTTTTCTGGTACTCACGGTGGAAGCGCGGCGTTGGCCTATTTGTGAAGCTGGGACGATCTTTTGAGAAGTAAAGGAAGATGAGGCGATATAATTAAAGTTGGGGGAGGGTTATTAGTGGATGAGGTAAGGAATCGTCTCATGCAATTATTACTAATATTTTATAATAAAATAGAGAGATAGACAACGCCTACAAACAGAGCGGAAATTCCCTGACATCTTCAGTTCGCCCTCCACACTTCCTCCACGCGCCCTTCACATGCCCTCCATGGCTTTCTGCTGGAAAGATTCAACAAGTTTTCACAGGTAGTTACATCGTTGGGAGCAGGAGCTCAGAGTTGACAAGTTTAACCACTGATACCGTAAGAATAGATTCAACACAAACATTATTAAATCTTTCTAACAAGAGAGCAAGAAAACAAGAGCTATTTGCAGGCTTCTGTTTATTAAAACTTATTTTTATTTATTTTTATTTATTTATTTAATATTGTCACAGCTTCCTCAGCTGTGATAATGCTTATTTTCTAAATTAAGGGACTCTGCTTGCAAGTCCGATGTTCAGCTTCCTTTTGTATAACAAGTTGAAAACTTAAGAGTCGTCGTTGTCAACGGGTCAGCCAATACCAATACATCCAACCAAGCTCAACACAAGCGACTCTTCTCCTACTCCCCAGGTAATCTAACGTCTGCCCACCCTACCTTCCCATCTTCCCCATCCCTCTTCACTGCCTTCCAAGTCTCAAGATCCAACCACCCAATCCTAGCTCGATCTCCAAACCCACCAATCCAATAAGCCTCTTCCACGACCAGCTTCGCCCAATAACCACTATGGGCAGCGCTGTCGTGGCCAGGCAACCACCACGCAGCATCAGGATGAGCAGCAAGAAAACACATCTCAACAGCCTTGCGTGTTGTATCCGACAAGTTCTCCAACGGATCGAGATAGCCTAGAAGCGACACACGCGGAAGGGAGGCTAATGATACCTCCTCGACGCGATGCATACCACCAGCATTTCCAGCAGCCTGCCGATGCCACCAGTCTATGGATAAAGAAATATTCGAGCCAGCTTTCGTATTGCGGAAGGTGGTTCCGATATTCAATGCGAGGATTAGGGGGTTTCCAGGACCAATCAGTTTGGTCAGTTCGCTGGTTGGGTCATTCGCACAATCTGCAATGTAGTCTGGGAAGCCGACGGGGACTCCATCAAGGGCAGATTTGCGAGTGGATGAACTTGGCGGGTAGACGGTTGATAGGACTCCTGTGGTCGAAAGGGCAAGGAGACGACGTGCTAAGAGGTGCGCGGAGTCCCAGCTTGGAAAGACGTAGTCCGGTTGGGCAACGGGATCGTTATCATTGTCGAGGTCTGGAGGATACGAGGTTGTTTCTGGAAAGCTAGGTAGCGGCAGCGGGGATTTCCCCTTCGAGCCTATCGGGAGCTGTGCCGTTATAGCAATTGAGTTGTCTGATCGATCGTCGTTTGCCCGCAAAGATGTTGGGTATGCTACGGCGATGGAAAGGAGAACCTCTATAAAAGCGAGAATGGTTATTGACCACATGTTGGGTAGAATTGTACGGAGTAGACCGATATGCTATTCGATAGTCTTGTATTCATGTACTCCTGCACTGCACAATCCTAGCGAGAATCCGTGGGGTCGGGTATTGGTAAGATATAAAGGATGAAGGATCCAGCCACAAAGCGGGGAAGTTAAGCCAGGTCCCGCCTTCAAACTGTCATTCTTAGCTCAGGTTTAGGAGCGATTGCAGTCAACGAATGAAAACCCACACACAAACTCTCTGTCGTTACAAAAGCCTGGATGATCCGTCAAGGATGTAAGAATCAAAAAACATGCCCTGGTGGAAGTTGCGTTCGCTGATCTCTTTTAACTATGTGCAGAGATTAGATGATCTGATAAGATTTGGCGTCTAGGGATCCAATCATGAGATGCCGTTGATATAACGTTGTAAACTTTATTTTTCTGTTCCAAACATTTCAAAGGCATCAACTTTCCAGGACAAGGACTCGATGTGATGCTGACGCCGCGAATAATCAGTTTCAGACAGATCCATGACATAATTTGAATATTCGCCAAATCGGCTTTGTCTTGAGATTTTATTTTCCAAATAATAACTGCTAAGATCTTGCGCGCCCTAACTGCTGCCATACCCGTGACGCAATATTAAAACGACCCAGTGGTGAACCTCGGAAGGGCGGGAACCTTGGAATAATGTCTCAGATGTTTCGTACATATGGCAATTTATGGCATGTTACAGGATGTTACCAGACATTTGATCTGTATATCGATAGAAGTGCCAGTCTATTGAACCCAAAATCCTCCTCAACCACAGAAAGTGGGAGCAAAATGGAACATTTAAGCTTTCAACAGCTCAAAGGAGAACAAAACCTCTACTTTTGTGGATAGACAGACGGATGGAAATTGCACGAATTGTTTCCCATTTGGGCGTGGCGTGGGCACAGTCCATAGTTATTCCGAATCGCATCTGTCTGTGAGATTTTCCAACAACAGCAGTTCATTGGTTTGATTGGCTCAATCCTACATTCGAACACACGCAATCACTTCTCATGACTTGGCAGACAATACAATACAATACACAGACGGATTCATCGTAGATCTATCGACCTATCGACAGATCAAATGTCGAAGAAGGCCCGTGTGTGTGCTGCTCTATATCTGGAATATTTACATATTTACCTCTTTGTTTAATGGGTTGTTATCATTTCAATATAGCGACTGCAGGCAAAGTGTTGGTGGTCAAATAAATAAATGGTGGGAACGTCTATGACCCAATTCTTTCGCTTCACTTCTTGAGCAACCTCGATCAATTGTTCAGTGCAGCAGTCGGTCAATACATCAATTTATTGCCATACAATACTAAAAACCTCATACCTAACGGAGGCACGATTTATAGTTCATGGGTGAGTGTTACACTCTTTGGGCAAACCTTCATATATCCCATGGTCATCACCCTTTATATCAAACGATGACCATGCATACAACACAGGGCTTTCGTGCACCAAATTCCTATCCTTCGTTTATGTTTCAAGTGGGATGAAAAAAAAAAAAAAAAAAAAAAAAAGCTAAAAATGGCTTGGAGCGGCCAAAGCACAGCACTCTGCAACAAATGTTTCCTGAAGCTTCGTAATGCATGCTGCGTTTTCCGATTAAACCACCACCTTGAACACGACTGTCATCACATGATACGCGACCGTTTCATTTTGCGACTGTTAACTATTAGTTAGTTAATTAGTGCTTATTTCGTGCGATCTACAGTGGGTGTGCTGTTGATCGACCACCTTAATTGTCGAGATCACAGATCCATTATTCCTCAGAACAGAAGGATAGTGGACTTCTCGAGTTTGGAAGCGATATTGCCACACCAACCTGTTCCCAGAAAATGAAAAGCGTAAAATTTTACGTGATTGGGTGCGAAGCATGCCAAACGTGTCACTGAAACCTCTGCTTCATGGGAGATGATCGTGTCTTCCATCGGACACTGGGAAAGAATCGACACTCAGGAAGATGTCGTATCAAATTTCGAAGCTCAGCTAGACGAGAATCATTTCCCAAAGCAGAACTCAAAGGGGCAATGTAAGAGGTGAACATTTAGGGCTGAGGGGGATCCAATTCTTGATAGATTTAATGCCCGCCTGGCGTTAACGAATTCAGTGACGTGTACCGAACACAATGCAACCGGACCTGCCACTGTGTTCATGGGATAATTAACCAACCACTTTTTGATACCCTCCCTAGGTATATTTATACATAATTGACTCGAAGCCTGGGGATAAGACCGGAGCTGCTCTTAAGCTACCAAGGATGGCAGTCAAATATCCCCGTTCGTGGACACATCAACAACGCAATCATTCATGATGTAGGTGCTTTTCATGAAAAGCCTTCCTGCTATCGTTCTCTTAATGTTTGCGTTTCCCTTTGCTCTACTCGAGTCTAATCGCCCCCGAAATTCCCCAGAGGAATAATGCGACTTGGTATTGTTTGTGTGGCACTTGTCTCGGCCTATCTACCAGTGCAAACGGTAGCCAGTGAGGTAGATGATCTCGCCGCACAGGGTCTTGAAATTCGTAGAGCTTATGATGCCGAAATTGGTGGCGAAAGGACTTGCGATATCGAAAACACTGCTGTCAGGAGGGAATGGTATATATATTTTTTCCAAGTGCTTCTATCTTCGCGGATAAAGACCAAGACTGAATACCCCTGCTTAGGAATACATTGACAGCGGATGAAAAGAAGGAATATATCAACGCCGTCCTGTGCTTGCAGAAGCTAGAGTCGATTTGGCCACAGAGTGAAGTCCCCGGTGTGAGATCCAGATTCGACGACTTTGTCGCCCTGCATATACAACAGGCTCGCTTGGTCCACTTTACAGTAAAATTTTTCTTTATATAACCATTCGATCAAGACCTTTGACAATATGAAGTTAATTTATTACCCACTAGGCTAGTTTCCTTGGATGGCATCGGTACTATTTATGGACCTATGAGGAGGCCTTGCGAAACGAGTGCGGTTATACAGGACATCACCCATACTGGAACTGGGCTGAATATGCAGAAGACCCCGTCAGCAACCCAATGTTCGATGGCTCTGAAACGAGTTTGTCTGGGAACGGTGAGGCAACCGACCATGGAAATGTTACAATTGTGCCTGGGCTAATTGTTCCGTCGGGAACTGGCGGTGGCTGTGTCATTTCCGGACCCTTCGCAAGGTGACTAACCCTACCCTACATCCCCCCCTTATTTCCCTGTTCCTTACAGTATGCCGTACCTTGATATAGGAATTTACTTAACCCTTCTCAGCATGAGTGTCAACCTTGGTCCCATAACGCCGATTATGCCAGACCTACAGCCAAACGGCAACGGATTGTCGTATAACCCCCGCTGTCTACGACGAGATATATCCTCCATTATCTCCAAGAGATTCACCAAGACCTCAGATATTGTCGAACTCATCACCACCAAGAATGACATTCTATCCTTCCAAAACTTCATGCAAGCAGATCCCGTGACCGATTTCATCGGCGTGCATGGTGGTGGGCATTTCATTACCAGCGGTGACCCAGGCGGAGTACGTACTACCTAACCCTCCAACCGCTTAATTTATAGGACTCCCCATCAAGGGCGCACTACCAAGCGGCTAGCATGTAATTTAAACAACCTAGATAGGATTTCTACATCTCCCCGGGCGACCCGGTCTTCTACCTCCATCACTCCCAAATCGACCGGATATGGTGGATCTGGCAGAACCTGGACCCAGCGAATCGCCTGCACGCAGTGGCCGGCGGTACGGAGATGTATAACGCTTCGTCGCGAAACGGAACCGCAGACGACCTGGTTGATTTAGGGTATCTGGGTGATGAGTGCAGGCTGGGAGATTTGCTCAGCGCTACTGGTGGTCCATTTTGCTATATCTATCAGTAAATAGGTCTGGTCTTTTCAAAAGAGGAATGTGCTACGAATTTGTGCCTATTATGACTCTGAAAAGCGTAACTTGGTTAACTATTTTTCTAGCTTGACTAAGCATTTTGTTGGACCGAGAAGTTATTTTAATAGGAGAGTTCCGGTTCCATTAGTTTGCAGTTGGTTTAGTACGGTACTACCCTTTTGTCTTCCAGAGGCGTTTCTTATCTTCATGTCCCACAGTAAAGCTCATATCTTCATTGAGCCGCAGATGGTAGGGCACTGACGATGGTTCGACTTTACATTGTGGCCTCCAAACCCATGTGACGTGGGTGAGTAGACTGAGATGCTAGCCACCCGGAGGGTGGTATTGAGGCTGGTCCGAAGACGCATCCATAAAACCTCCTCGATATTCGAACTGAAGTTCACATGACAATCATTCAGCCATACAGCACGATCCCCGAGAACGAGATCCAGGAGAGAGCTGGCTAAAGCATGGGATGGCATGTTTCTTAGAGCCCTGTCGTGTCCTTTCACAGTTCGAGCGATAAGCAGAAGAACGCAAGTTCCACACTTCTCAACACCCGACGCAGGTCGCAGTCGCTGCTGGATGCAGGTGGTGGCAGCTGGATGTGGGCGCATCACGTCAGCAAAAAAGGGGGCCAAGACACTAAACCAATAGCCGTAGTGTACTTTCCTGATTGGGAATGACAATATCTCATTCTGGACTAGCGCCGGAGGATGAACACCGAAAACATCCCAACCCCAAATAATTATTTAGTGAAAAAATGGAGGCCAATCTCCCATGCCATGGGCAAATGAGAAAACGGCGCAAACTCTGAATGCAACCAATAAATAAATAAATAAATAAATAAATATAAATATAAATAAATATATATATATATATATATTATTGGGGGCAGTAAAAAAAGGGACTTCAGAGCCACGGGAGAAGGAAATAAAAAAAGCAGCTCAAATCGATGCAGTTGCGACCTTACGGTTGGTTCAACCGCCATGAAAACCTTGCTGACCATCTTCGCCAACAAAGAAAATGTGGCGATGCGTGGGGGATGGGTGGTTCCGCCGGAAGAGGGGGGAGGCGGGGGGAGATGGATTTTGCCTTGTGTATACCCTTCTGGCGGTCAGTCAATAGGAGATAACCCACGTATGTATGTATTTTGCATTGTAGGGTGCTGCTGTGCATTGCTATGCATGCAGCACCTGGTTGCTTTAAAATTGTCTTGTTTCTGGTGCTTGGTCTGTGATGAGCTTGGCTGTAGTCGATAAAGACCGATGCCATGCAGCGTGACGTAATGAATGTATATGATATGTGACTAATTAGTCGATTGGCACAGGGGAGAGCGAGGATGACGGGAAAAGGTGCTGAGCCGATCAGGGTGATAGATAGATAATACAATGTGGGAGGGGGGAAAGGAAAAGGAGGAATGAATGGTGACATGGGAGCAGAAGGCGACCCATTCAAAAATTGAAGAAGAAAGGAGATTTTAGGTCACGGAAGACAGCACACTCCCCCCACATCCCAAGCTCCTTCAAAATGCCAAAGAAGTTAAACTTTCAGTAAGATATTGAATTGCAGAAGAAAATAAATCAATATGGGAATGCAGGATTTGATTTGAATTATATCAGATATAACTGCAAAATCATCCTTGCCGCGATCTCACCATCCCCCCCGCGCCCCCTTTCTCTTACACTTCACGCTTCCCCATATGCCCCCACCTATTCAACCATCCACACCCGTCGCCAAACAAGGGTAAAATAATTATTAAATAATCTGGTAGGGAATGGTATGTACGCAAGAGTGGAATAGAACGAGGGTGTTGTAGATATAGTAGACTAAGTAATGCACAAAGCCATAATCTTCCTACTACCCTCCTCTGCCCTCCTTTCTTCTCTCCTTCTCAACATCGCAACAACCACCCCCCCCAACTCACAAAATCATCAGAACAAACATCTCGACAACGCTGCCAACAAAAGGAAACAAGACAGAATAAAAATAAATGACACCACAAAAAAGCAAGAATGAAGCAACGCCCATCCACTACTCCACCATCTCCCCAACACCAACTCCAAAGCCCCACAAAGACCTCGCCGCCTCCTTCGCGCAGCACGCACGTTTCATACTCTCCGCACCCCGCTGCAACGTCAACGACAACGGCGGTAATGTAGCCGTACAACCGTTGCTGCTACTATTGCTGCAGGCCGGTGATGAACTACTAGTATTGACCGATGACGATGACGATGACGATGATGATGACGATGATGACGATGATGATGATGATGATGATGATGATGATGATGATGATGACGACTGTGGAACCAGAAACGAGTCAGCAATATTGCTGTCTGTGGTAACAACGGTTGTGCTATCATCCTCGTCACTTCGAAGGTCATGCAGTGTTGAGAAGGCTAGGAGTTCTTCGCGGACGTTGGTGTGGAGGGCAAGGTCATCGGAGGTGGGGCGACCGCGTTTGCGGGAGGGACGAGGACAAGTTAAGATGGAAGTAGACATGGTTGTAGGAGTGCTGGTGGCGGTGGTCGTAGTGGTTGTACTTGGTGTTGGGTTGGTTGTGTGGGAAGGATAGCAAGAACGCGGTAGGGCGCCAGAGAGTACACAGAGACCGTGCGCCGCTTCATGGGCTAGATCCTCAGTGGGCTCTAGAGAGAAACCCGAGAGATCAGGAACGCCTTCGCTACTACTTTCTCCGGCGGAGAAGGGTTCTGGCGACGCGTAGAAGTCCGTGGGCCAGCTTCCTTTGTCAATCCGGGGTACGATCGTCAAGTTCTTTCGGTTATCCTTGGAGTAGGAGTAAGTCTGTATGTTCGTGCATCGACGAGTCGCCCGCATAGCCAGACGTGACTGAGCAGGCGCGCAGGTCCCTGATGCAACGGACGAGATTGACGAAGAGCGGGACGATCGAGATGACCTTGTCGATGTCAGAGAGGGGACATCGGATATCATGGATTCAGGGGACGAGGCGGATGAGGCGGAGCGGGCCAGGGAGGAGCGTCGGGCAAGGGTTGGGTAGGATGCATCGACGGGGGTGGTTTTACTATAAGTACATTTGGGTCGTGGATCGAAGGTGATGCGCTGCGCGCACAAGCTTTGTGCTTGGGACATGGCGGCGCAGATGGAGGGTTTCCGAGAGAGGAATCCACCAATACTCACTGCAGGAGTACTGACGGTGCTTGACTGAGGGGTAATATGTGGAGTGGGAAGGGAAGTAAATTTAGGGAGAGGTGGGAGTTGCGTGTATGGGTTACTTTCCAGGGTAGGGAAGATATTTCTGGCTGCTGTGGGTGTCTGATCATTATTAGTCGGTGGTGGTACAAAGGACATACTGTCCGGAATTGGCATAAGACTAGGAGGTGGTGTACAACCGGTACCGGTCATGACATGGTCAGTTATGCCCCGGTACCGGTCGGTTTCCAGATCGATGGTGTCGAGTTCGGGTGTCAACAAGGGGATAATCGTCCGCCAGGATAGAGCTTCACCCTTGGGGACACCCCCAACTGTGGGAGTGTACTTCAGAACTATGTCGGTCCAACGCTGAAAGACAGACTCGGAGATGTGGAGTTTCCACCCCACAGCTTCAAGAAAAGATAGCTCATTCTGGTTAATCTCCAAGGTATTTAAGCCTGAAATCTTACTCCACGCACGAGCTGAGTAGTTACGGTCTTGAAGGTACTTGGAAGCCAGAATGAGTGCTGATAGAAACATGCGTCTGCCGCATTGCATCGAACGGGTGCAGGGCTGGTTCCTGGATTGCTCCTTGGTGAAGTCATGCTTAGGTACATGAGGCTTAATCATGATGAGATAGTACAAAGCTACTTGCAAAGTCGAATAGCTGGTCCGTGACCGTCGAAGCGTTTCCTGTATGAATGTACGGAGAGGCAAAACCCCCCTTGATCCCAAGGGTGTATCATGGCGTAGTGCTACGACCGACAGTGGCCAGATGGATTCGACAATCTGAGAGGCCGAGTCTTCAAGAGCAGAACACAAAAGAGGACACAAAGATGAAATTAGAGAATCGAACATGAGACAGGATGAAGACGGGATTACACCAGACTCACCAACAAGATTGTCGACAAAATTGACTTTCCGATCACACTGGCGGACCAGGGACGGAGGAGCTCGGGAGCAGGCAGAAGAAGATGAAGCATTGCTATAAGTACGTCGGGGATTCTGCCGCAATTCAGGTGCAACTGCGGCGTCAGCGACTTTGGAACCACAACGTCGGCCAGAACGAAGACAGTGGAAGTTCGATTCACTTGACGAGCTCAAACTTCTACTTCCCGTCTGCTGTGAGTGTGAGTCAGCAGTGCCTAGGACTTCATTTTCCCAGATCACGTCGACAGAGCTCGTTGAAGAGGAAATGGAACTCTGCGACGGGTCGAGAGAGAAGACAGAAGACGAGGACGAGGAGGCTGATGAGGCAATGGACGATGCGTAAGGGTGTGGCTGGGTTTGAGAATGTGGAACTTTCTGAAGGCCTGGGTTCGCAAGGCTGAAACCCAGGACGTCCATTACTGGCATGTTCGGATGGGTATTTTCACGACCACGATAAACACAGGCCTTTTTTAGGATGGCGAAAAAAAGATGTAATCAAACCCTTATTTAAAGATGGTTTGTCTTTTCCCCTGTTGGTGTTGTTTTTTGGGTCGAAACTAAAAATATCGTATGGGAAATGTCGAAGGTAATGGGCGATTTGGTAAAAGCCGGGGTAATATTGATTTTTCCGGGGGAACTAAACCGTTTAGATAAAACCGTGTAAGAAGTGCAGTAGGTAGTCCCGTCTTGATTATTGTTGAGAGGAGACGGGGACCCTCTCTATACTAGGTCAGAATCCAGGATGGAAGGCAGTTAAGGACTGCAAGGTTGGTAAAAAGGAGGTCGAGATGAGTCGCAAAACTATGTAGGAAAGGAAGAAACGTCCTGATGGAGGGGAGGTAACGTATTGGAGTAATTAGATTCCGATCACCAACATTGGTGAGTTCCAAATGGGGGTGTGATTGTATGTATATCCTTATGTATATTGTGTAGGCGCACGGGAGCGAGAATGGGAGGAGGTTGTTTAATAAGGACAATGAGACAAACAAGTATTAACCGGATCTGAGTATGAGTAATTTGGGAATATATGCAGGTACCATGCAGCGGAGAGCGTAGGCTGCTTTGATCAAGTACGTGGGAGATTTGGGTGGCATGCACTCAGTTTCCCAATGCACAAGAGTGAAGCAAAGGAGCGTGACTCTTCTTAGGGCGGAGGTACCCGGCTTCAACTCAGAGGCGGCCAGTCATCTTGACGGTGTAGTTGTATGAATAATAGGAAGAGGATGACAATTTGGAATCTGCTAAGCTGGCGATCGGATCGTTGGAATATGACAAGACAGGGTACATCGTCACCCTGAAGCCTCTCTCTTATTTATTTAGTTTTTATTTTGCGTTGTGAACAAAACAGACAAAACCGCGGCGGAGGGAGACGAGGAAGGCTGGTGTTGGTGGTTGGTGGAGCCCCGTAGTTTAAGCTTGCTGCTGTAGGCAGCACCAGCTAGTGTCTTGCGCTTAATTCCAGGAGCCTGTTCTGAATGCTAGTTTGCAGCGCAAATAAATAGTCAAGAGGGTTCAGATGGAATGCTCGGGTTTCCAAGGACAGGGAATCTGTTGTTCTCGTGCTTGGTGGCTTCGAATGAGTGAGGAGGTGAGTAATGTGGGCGGTTGGTGTAAGTGGTGGTGTACCCTCGGATGTGTGGAAAAAGGCGAGGTTGGGAGAGACGGAGAAGAGGGACGGGGGAAGAGGGAGGAGAGTGATTACTGTGGTGGAACAGAACTTATTCCGCTAGCCGTCAGCGAGTCATCTTATATTGCTATGGTTATAATGAGGAGGGAGACAGAAAAAGGAGGAGAATTGAGCAATGGAATGTTTGACGATTAGGTTAGGTTTGGGTTTGTATGACTGATTTCGGAGTCAGGGCCAGTGACCGGGTGGCGATGTGGCGAGGGACCGGCAAGAAATAATCATAATAAAGCGGAAACAGTACGGGGTAGT